ACAAAGTTTTGGGCCCACATGAAAAGTAAAAACTCATTGTGCATCAATTGACAACAGGTTATAAGCCTTGTCCAGGTCTACGCGATAGCGGGAGAGGTCCCAGCACCCATCTGACCAACATCCTGTATAAATGGGCCCCTAAGTCCCAGAAGGCCCTTGTTTAGCTGCAAAGTCTGCACAAATCCTATGTCTGTCCCTGAGCATGAGCCCATATATAGGAATGGATTGGACAGGTGGCATGCCAGGGCAATTTATACACAAATCTGTGTGGCACCATGCAAGGCAGCACAGTGAAGGTCTCTAGAGCGGGACTGAAGGTTCTTATTCTACATTGGTAGCTACAGGGGGTTGGAAGTAGGGGAATCAGTAGGTCTGTAAAGAAAAACCTCTCTAAAAGTGAAAAGTGTTACTACTTCTGTAACTAATAGATACATTGTTAAACAACAAGATTATTAAAGTGACACTAATGATGTTATTATTCTCCAAAAACAATCCACATACATCCACTAATTAATGGCACTTTAATATATTTTATCTGAAATTGTTTCTTACTGTGTTTTTCTACCTCCTTGTAACGTTTTCTGTCTGTGAACTCCTTAACTCCTCTTTTTCCCCCGCTCAGTTCTGTTTGTTTAGAACAGCAATGGGCAAACTACGGCCCGCGGGCCGTATACGGCCGGCGGGCCGTATACGGCCGGCGGACCTTTTAATCCGGCCCGCGGAGCTAGGCTCCCGCTAGGCTCCTCTCACAGTCCGCCCTGAAGACCGGTGTAGCATGAAAATCTGTCTCCTATGAGGATCTGTCCCCCTCGACGTATCTGCGCATGTGCCGGAGATCGCCGATCGGCTGCTAATGCCTGAAACTGGCACATGCGCAGATACGTCGAGGGGGGCAGATCCTCATAGGAGACAGATTTTCATGCTACACCGAACGGCGCGGGAACACGGCGAGAGGAACGCGCGGAGCAAAGGTAAGTGAATTGACACAGGGGGGACTTGGGGACTTAATATGGGAGATGAATTAATATGGGGGATGAATTAATATGGGGAATGAATTACTATATGGGGGATGAATTACTATGGGGCATGAATTACTATGGGGGGATGAATTACTATATGGGGGATGAATTACTATATGGGGGATGAATTACTATATGGGGGATGAATTACTATGGGGGATGAATCACTATATGGGGGATGAATCACTATATGGGGGATGGATCACTATATGGGGGATGGATCACTATATGGGGGATGAATCACTATATGGGGGATGAATTACTATGGGGGATGAATTACTATATGGGGATGAATTACTATGGGGGATGAATTACTATATGGGGGATGAATTACTATGGGGGATGAATTACTATATGGGGGATGAATTACTATGGGGGATGAATTACTATATGGGGGATGAATTACTATATGGGGGATGAATTACTATGGGGGATGAATTACTATATGGGGGATTAATTACTATGCTTACTATGGGGGAATATTACTATACTTACTATGGATGACACATACACATCATTCATCTACTCTTGGTCCGGCCCCCGGGTCCAATATATGAACCCATTGCGGCCCTCAAGTCAAAAAGTTTGCCCACCCCTGGTTTAGAACAAGCAGTGCATGTTAGTTGCTGTCATGTCACTAATCTATGAGCACTACACTTCCCATAGTCCATAGTCTATCTCAAGAGTGAGTAACAGAGGGGCCATGGAGAACGAACGTAGACACCCTCTAACAGATTTTGGAGATTTGGAGGAGGCTGGGAGAAATAGAAGGAACTTTTTTGAGTTGTGAATACATACTTGAATGAATTTTAAACTGTTCATGTGTGCAATGGGCCATCTTTGCCCGCATGGGATGCCCAGGTGTTCTGTCTATCTGCATGCAGGCAACCCCATTCACAGCTCCTGGTCCCAGTCTGATACCTGTGTGGGTGCTTGCCCACTGAACACTGGTGAATCTCATGCTGGCAAAGATGGCCCTTTGCATGGGTGTATGAATAGGTAAATCCCTGTAAATGAGGTCTTAAACCTGAGTACTACTTTTGTTAGGATGGAAGGTTTGATTTGCAGAGCCAGTGGTATTGCATTTGCCATAACTGACCAGCAGAGGGCAAGATTGTACAAGTCTTTAGTGGTTACTCTCTGAAAACTAACAGTCGAATACAGTACTTTATGAATGTATACGACTTGTTTGCTTTATCCCTGCTAACACCAACCTGCCACTAAAACTACATATGTTATTAAAAGCAAATTCTAAATCTGTCCTAAAAGTTGCAGCATTTTGAGAAAAAAAAACCCTTTCACTTTTCTCTCGTCCTATTTGTTTTCCCAACCCTATCCTATCCGTAATCTCCAAAATTGTTTGGATGTTAAGAGTCTTGCCATGCTGCATGCTACCCTCAAGGAGCTTACATTCTACATTCCCTATCTGACATGATGGACACTGTCTGTGATCGGCCTTGATTTCCGGGATGCAGCCAAGGACAAGGTTGGGAAGTGTTTGAGAATCAGTGACTGGAGATTTGGCAACTATCCATTCATTTACAGTATACACATACTAAGGACAACTTGAACAGGAGTCAATTAACCTACCGTTGAAACAGAAACAAAACCTCCTGCACTCTAGGACTCAAAACAAAGGTGGAAAAGTAGAAGGATTCTTCGAAACAAATCCACAATTGCATGGAAGGTAGTGCAGCAGTCAGGGGGGGACTGACCATTTGAAAACTCAGGCACTGCCCGAGGGCCGGGGTCAGTAGGGGGCCCCATGAGATGCCCCCTGGTACCTTTTTCATAGGCTTTTTTGAGTTTGGGCAAGGACACATGGGCCCCATGATCCCCTATTGCCCGGGGGCTCCATGAGTTGTCAGTCCGCCGCTGGCAGCACTAAAACAAGGCTGGGGAAGCCCGACCAAAACTGAGAAGTGAAACAAAAAAGAGCGCACCAACCTTGCACATTACCTCAGTAAACTGAATTTATTAAATAAAAAATATATATACTCACAAACAAGGAAGTATAACAAGCATAAACAAATCCTAAAAGGAAATTGAAGTGTAGAGCCAGTGTGAGTCACATCATGAGGGTAGACTCTCAAAGTGAGGCTGACACGTTTCGAAGGGGAACCCTTCTTCATCAGAGCTCATTGAAGAAGGGTCCCCCTTCGAAATGCGTCAGCCTCACTTTGAGAATCTACCTCACGATGTGACTCACACTGGCTCTACACTTCAATTTCCTTTGAGGATCTGTTTATGCTTCTTTGTTTGTGAGTATATATAATTTTGATTTTTTATTTAATAAATTCATAGTTTACTGAGGTAATGCGCAAGGTTGGTGCGCTCTTTTTTGCTTCACTTCTCAGTTTTGGTCGGGCTTCTCCAGCCTTGTTTTAGTGCTGCACTACCTTCCATGCAATTGTGGAATTGTTTCAAGGAATCCTTCCACTTCTCAATTAACCTACCAGCATGCCTGGTGTGTGGGAGAAATCCAGTACAAGCACAGGCAGAAGATGCAAACTCCATGCAAAGCATCTCAGTGCTGCCAGGCAGAAGTGCTAACCAGTAAGCCACTGTGCTGTCAAAGATAACTAGACAAGGAAAATTAAACTGTAAATGGTGCAATGTGGGATGGCTAAAGTGACACATGTGTCACTACTGGTAGCATGAGGCGATACCTGGACCCTACAGAGGTTGTACAGGCAGTCCAACTCCTCCAGGATGGTACATCAATACGTGCCATTGCCAGAAGGTTTGTCTCCCAGGAAAGTCTCAAGAGCATGGAGGAGATTTCATGAGACAAGCAGTTACTCTAGAAGAGCTGGATAGGGCTGTAGATGGTCCATAACTCATCAGCAGGACCAGTATCTGCTCCTTTGTGCAAGGAGGAACAGGATGAGCACTACCAGAGCCCTACAAAATGACCTCCAGCAGGCCACTAGTTTGAATGTCTCTGACCAAACAATCAGAAACAGATTTCATGAGGGTGGCCTGAGGGCCCGATGTCCTCTAGTGGGCCCTGTGCTCACTGCTCGGCACCATAGAGCTCGATTGGCATTTTGCCATTGAACACCAGAATTGGCAGGTCCGCCACTGGCACCCTGTGCTTTTCTCAGATGAGAGCAGGTTCACCCTGAGCACATGTGACAGACATGAAAGGGTCTGGAGAAGCCATGGAGAACGTTATGCTGCCTATAACATCGTTCCACATGACCATTTGTTGGTGGGTCACTGATGGTCTGGGGAGGCATATCCATGGAGGGACGCACAGACCTCTACAGGCTAGACAATGGCATCCTGACTGCCATTAGGTATCGGGATGAAGTCCTTGGACCGATTGTCAGACCCTACGTTGGTGAAGTGGGTCCTGGGTTCCTCCTGGTGCACGACAATGCCGGGCCTCATGTGGCGAGAGTATGCAGGCAGTTCCTAGAGGATGAAGGAATTGATACAATTGAATGGCCCCCATGCTCGCCTGACCTAAATCCAATAGAACACCTCTGGGATATCATGTTTCGGTCCATCCGACGACTCCAGGTTGCCTCTCAGACTGTCCAGGAGCTCCCTGTTCCAGATCTGGGAGGAAATACCCCAGGACACCCATCCGTCATCTCATTAGGAGCATGCCCCAATGTTGTCATGCATGCATACAAGCACGTGGGAGCCATACAAACTACTGAGTACCATTTTAAGTGCTGCAATGAAATTTCAGCAAAACAGACTAGCCTGTTGCATCATTTCTTCACTTTGATTTTCGGGGTGTCTTTTAATTCAGTCCTCTGTAGGTTGATCATTTTCATTTCCAACAAATGATGGGGTATCCTTACGTTGCTAACACATTACCCCGTCCATATCAGTATAGATATCCAGCATTAGATTTTTCCCCATTGAGATCTGATGTATTTTCAAACTCTTCCTTTAATGTTTTTGAGCAATGTATAATGTTGAATTAATAAATGTATAGTAATTGTTGGTCCTGATTTTTCTCAGGGTGCATGAGCTGCAGTCCATTCTGCAGAGGAAGGGGTTAGCAGCAAATGATAAGATGACTACTTTACTCACAAAGCATTTGGAATCACAGAAAACTCAAACAGCCAAGCAGAATGGGAAAGAGAAACAGCGGACCCCCAACGCTATACGCACCCCGAAAGGAGAATTTAATATTCACAGGCAGATCCAGAATAGTGGTGAGTGTACATTTATTGAAGATACTGTACTTCAGATCAGAGAATGCTGGGACTGATAGCTCTATACACACAAAAGTGAAGCCTGTCATAAAATGTTAACATCAATCCTGCTGTGATGAATAAGTAAGGAATAACAAAATGGCTCAAATAGCTTTCCTGGAGAAAATGTTGTTCCAGGTTCCCTTCAGTGTTGATCACATGTGTGGAGGTCAAGGTCCTTGGACAAATGATCTGTGTTGAAGGGTTACGTCAGCTAATCTGAGTTTTGATTGTTTCTTTCAGCAAAATGACATGAGCGAGTACCTAAGCTCTCATATACACTATATTGTCAAATGTATTGGGCAGGCCCTCCAAATCATTGGATTCAGGTGTTCCAATGACCTCCATGGCCACAGGTGTAAATATTCCACGGTCAACTGTTAGTGGTGTTATAACAAAGTGGAAGCTACTGGGAACAACAGCAACTCGGCCACGAAGTGATAGGCCACATAAAATGAGAGAGCGGGGTCAGCACATGCTGAATCACACAGTGCGCAGAAGTCGGCAACTGTCTGCAGGGTCAATAGCTAAAGACCTCCAAACATCGTATGATCTTCAGATTAGCACAACAGTCCGTAGAGAGCTTCATGGAATGGGTTTCCATGGCCAAACAGCTGCATCCAAGCCTTACATCACCAAGTGCAATGCAAAGCGTCAGATGCAGTGGTGTAAAGCACGCTGCCACCGGACTGTAGAGCAGTGGAGGCGTGTTCTCTGAAATGACCAATCATGCTTCTGTCTAGCAATACGATGGATGTGTCTGGGTTTGGCGGTTGCCAGGAGAACAGTACTGACTGCATTGTGCCAAATGTAAAGTTTGGTGGAGGGAGGATTATGGTATGGGGTTGTTTTTCAGGGGTTGGGCTTGGCCCCTTAGTTCCAGTGAAAGGAACTCTTAAGGAGTCAGCATACCAAGACATTTTGAAAACTCTCATGCTTCCAGCTTTGTGGGAACAGTTTGGGGATGGCCCCTTCCTGTTCCAACATGACTGCGCACCAGTGCACAAAACAAGGTCTATAAAGACATGGATGAGCGAGTTTGGGATGGAGGAACTTGACTGTCCTGCACAGAGTCCTGACCTCAACTCGATAGAACACATTTGGGATGAATTAGAGCACAAACTGCAATCCAGGCCTTATCGTCTGACATCAGTGCCTGACCTCACAAATGTGCTTCTGGAAGAATGGTGAGACATTCTCTTAAACCTTGTGGACAGCCTTCCCAGAAGAGTTGAGGCTGTTATAGCAGCAAAGGGTGGGCCAACTCAATATTGAACCCTATGGACTGGGATGCCCTTAAAGTTCATGTGTTTGTAAAGGCAGGTGTCCCAATACTTTTGGCAATATAGTTTATAAGGGGGAACCTTTATACCAGTGCCTTCCCCCCTTACCTTAGTGTATTCATTCCCCCCTTATGTCAGTGGAGTAGTATCATGCTGGCCTCCTCCATAAGAGAATGTTTGCTCGCACGGCCTCGGTTGCAGCTTAGTCAGACGGTCCTTCAGGCAGCTCACTCCTCCTATGCTTTTTGAATCATCCCCAAATCTGAGTCTGCCTTCCACCACCAGTCCTCTCTAGTCCGGCGGCGCTACCACTCCCAAGTCCCGGCTCCCTCTGAGACCTGAGCACAGACAAGCCAACCCGAGCCAGGCCAGCTTTGGAACTGCATAGCCATATTTTTTACGGGCATCGGCTGTCAATAACGAACATTTACGGACAGTGTGTAAATCTAAACACGGGCAACACTGGAATCTCTGGGCAATTGAGTATGTTTTTCTCTCTCAACCAAGTAGGCCAAGAAAGAATGGGTTAACAACTAAATTAACCTGGGGGACCCAGGTTGAAGTTCCTTTTTAAATGGGTATGTGTTTCAATCTTTAGTATCCAGTACACAGCAATGCCTTATGTCTTTTGCTAGTAAAGAGAAGATTCTATCTGTAGGGCATATCATACACATAGGATATGCATATCCTGAGCAGGGAACATGTACGTGTGACCTCAGTCTTATCAGCAGCCTAGAAATGAATGTGGAGTTAAGCGCCAATCTGCGTCCTGTCTTTGTTTTTTTCTGTCTGCTCCCAGGACTGAGGTATGAAAACGCCCAGCAGAAAATAACACTATTCAGATTGATATGAATTTCCTGCAGAATTCCATTAAACCAGGCTGATGACAGACAAAAACTGTTCTTCCACTTCATTCAGGTTATTACCACTCCAAAGCCACGAATTGCATAGGCTGATGTCCACATGTAGAGCCTTTGCGTATCTTCTTATGAAGCTAACCTATTAGCACAAAGAGAAATATGATTTATAGCTATCATAAGGTATAGAGCGTGCTGCAAGCAGTCTTGCGTTCGTTGATGAGGTTGAAGATGTTCTGCTTCGGAGCATGAGTAGGGAAATGGAAGATTCGGGCGTGGCAGCTTAAAGTGATACTTCAGAGAACAACTGATGAATTGGATGTGAGCTGCAGAGCAAAGCAATGACAAATCGGAGAAGAGGCTGCAAATAATGAACATCTGTATTTATACTGAAAGTCTTCCTTAAAGGGGACTTGTCACGATGTACAAGACATATGGTGATACACTGCTTGAGGTTCTTCTAGAGACAAGAGAATATTTCCTGGTCTTATGGTCAGATCATGGAACAATTGTGTGTCTGTGCGCCCTCCCTGATACCGCCACCCAAACCGATCCAATGAAAAGAATTGATCATTAATGAATTTTCAAAGATGATTCATGGAATGAAATTCAGATTCATTAGTTATCTGAATCCGAATTATCAAACAAATTAAAAAAATGTACTCAATTTCCCCATGGGCCAAAACTATTACATCATATGACGTCATCCAAATGAAACAAATGCATTTGTTAGTTTCGTTATAATTTCTCTTTAGATTCATTGACATTCATTATTTTGTCCATTCGGTGATTCACATACATCCAAATCTCCAAAAATGCAGGTCTACCAGTGACAAGGTCTAATGTATCAGGAACATGGTTGAGATCAGAGGTTACACTGATTTCAGTGAAGGTCAAGTTCAAACAAGGTAGGGTCATCAACAAGGACAATCAAACAATAGTTAACAGAGCTGTACCAATGCAGTAGGAAATGATACAATGGACAACCAGAATGTGGATTTTATCCCCCTTTTAAAAGAAAGTTGACCAGCCGTGAGGTGTGCCAACTCCCAGCTATGTTATCTTAGACAGTACTTTTGTAATATAAGGAGAAGTATTTCATTCTGCTGTATGAAGGAGAGGTCTACATTAGCCTTTCTGAACTTTTTCCTCCCCAGTGAAATCCCTAAAATAATTTTCACATTTCGGGGAACCCTTACTAAAACCAATTCATCAGTTGTCAGTAGAAAGAAAACAACTCTTACAGTGGCAGTCAGCATGCCACCTGTCACGTACCTGATTGGAGACTGAAATGACGAGGTCGACCTCACACTGTGTGTCACTAGCCCTGACCCCACTGGAGGTGGAACAGAGGGTGTCTAGGGACCAGGGAGACAAGAGTGCCAACAGATGTTGTTTGCAGCACTTGCAGCTGGAGTCCTTAGAAGACTGATGGACCACTGATTCAGGAACAGTAGCGATATGCAGAGCTGGTATGGTAGATCGCCAGGCGTGCACCAGAGCAAGGCAGGAAGCTGGGATGGGAGACCAGAGCAATATCATAGGAATAGCCGGGGTCATCAACGGGCAGACAGCGAGGTACCAAATCATAAGCAAGCCACAGTCAGGAGCAGAGCCGAGGTCAGGAACAAGTATCAAGCAGGAGAGGAATCAAGAGTCAGGTCATGAACAAACTGGGTCAGTAACAAGGGAATCACACAGGAACAAGCATGACATGGGGAACAGCTGAAGACCAGTCAGCACTCAGCACAGACAGAGGCACCCTTTAAATAGTCCGTCTGGTGCCAATCTTCACCGAGCGCGTGCGCGATTGCGCATTTCGGATCACTTTTCTCCGGATATTTCCGTGCGCATGTGCATTTCTATTCGCCAGCCGTCTCACAGGAATTCCCTTACATTGGCCCACCCTTAGGGGCAGCCTCTGGATGCCTACTAAAGCTTGTTTTTCAGGATGAAGATGAAGGTAAGCTTACATTAACTGTGGAGCATAGTTCCCAGGAATTATTCTCTGGAACGTAGCCTTTCCATTTGATGAGGAACTGGGTCTGACTACCCCTCTTTCTACAATACAGGATAGCCACTACCTCATTACCTTTGACAAGCAGTGGAGCAGGAGATTCTGGACCTCGATGCAGAAATAGACTTGGGACTGTTGGTTTTAATAAAGAGACATGAAATACCGGATGGATCTTCATATTCTTTGGTAACATTAATTCAAAAGCTACAGGATTAATCTTTCTTTTGATTGTTAATGGTCCCAGGTACCTTGGACCAAGCTTCTTTGAAGGGCAGCTCAATTTCAAGTTTGTTGTGGATAGCCAAACCTTATCTCCTGGTTTCAGATTCAGATTCCCCCTTTTTCTGTGTCAAAAAATCTCGTGTTATTTGCTTGGGCCTCTAAAATAGATTCTCATAACATTTGACCATTCTGCCAATGGAAGGAGAGACACCGAGTCATCTTGCGAGTAAGAAGAGAAACATCGTAAATATTGTTCAAGGGTCTGGTTTGTCCTCTCAGTTTGCCCATTCATTTGTGGATGATACGCAGAAGAAAAGTGAAATTCGATTTCTAGTGCCTCACACAGAGCTTTCCAGAACTTAGAAGTGAACTGCACTCCCCGATCGGATACAATATTGCTGGGAATACCATGTAACCTCACAATCTCTTTAATGAAAGCAGAAGCAGTCTCAGCAGCAGCAGGAGTCCCTCTCAGGGGTATGAAGTGGGCCATTTTTGACAGACGATCAACCACGACAAAGATGGTGGTGAACCCTTTGGATAGGGGAAGCTCTACAATAAAATCCAGAGAAATCATACTC